ACACAATTCTCCACAACAACTGATTTTTTTCTGCTACACCCGGCTACGCTGCTTCGCTTCTTCTTCTTCTTGTTTACTACTGGTGGTTGGCTTTGGTCTCAGTACCGCCACATTTTGCTATGGAGTGTAAACGCTTCGCCTATGAGAAAAAGGAGCAGCGCATGAACCGAACGAAACACATGCGAATCTAATAGAGACAGTCGAACCGAACGGTTCAGACGGTTTTCATAAATCGTCCCATCCCTAATATATATATATATATATATATATATATATATATATATATATATATATGATATATATGATCGATACACACATGCAGTGCAGTGCATGTGTATATCGATCCACAATGTCATGCGTAAGGCCGTCCTACGTGCTCATCCCTAGGTAGCTATCTTTTTCTTCGCATGCGCACTTTCAGGTGTATATCTGTGGTGAGCTACGGTACAGGGTTGTACATGGAAAACCCCATAAAAATCGTCTAAAAATTAAATCAAGAAAATATAAATGAGGATGTGGTGAGAACATTTCTGTAGCCTTGTTCCTCTTCTTTTATGTTACTGCCACAGAAATTCACTGTTACACAGCACAAAAATATATATACTTAAATTAGATAAACGTGGCAATATTTACATGAGACATCAAGTAACTAAAGCTCATTTATTTTTACTTTTTTTTTTTTTATCCTCTGAGATCCAGCAAATGAACGGAGAAGGGTCACCATAGGAAAACATAAGGTTGATTTGTTAGGCTATTCGAGTACTGTTCTGGGGCACAGGGGACTTGTACAGGCTTGTTCCTGTTTATAACAACTCAGGGCACCAGAAGAAGGAACAAGGGAAGCTAGCAAACTCACACAGCGCTGAGTGACCTCCCAAACCTGACCCAAGGAGACTGAAATAGTAAGCCTAGAGTTAAAACGGCCCAAACAGCACAACATCAGTGGTTCAACTAACAAACACATTCAAAGTTAGACATAACATATGGGCAAGAGTAAACAAGCACCTTTTTATCATTTCAAACATAAAGACATTCCTCAACCCTGGAACACTCACTGGGGTAAAAACAAGGAACAAGCTGCCTTTGATAGGAGGGAAAAAAAAAAAAAAAAAACTACAACAACAGAATCCTCTACTAGAGTATCACAGAGACGTCAGCATCCGAACTGCAAATTCGGACTGTAAAGACCTATATCTAAAAGTAGAAAAAATCACAACATTTTATTTACTGCAACTGTCAGAAATTCTATCTTGAAAAAGTTCAAAATAATCAAATTTGCTCAGGAAAAATCTTAAAAAAAGAGGAGCAGGAAGTACCTATTATGACAAATAAGGACAACCTCTCAAAACAAAAGAGCTCATCAGGTGCAAAGAAGTTATTCAAGTATCCTGGTATCCTGTGCTTTCTGAGGGTTGATATTATCTTAGGGATGGAACGAACGGTTATTTTGCAAAATTATTGATCTGTTAATTCTTTTTTCGTTTAATCGATTAATAATGGAATAGCCAAAGGTTCCTTAAAAAAGACTTTTTGGCAAATCAAAGCAGGTGAAACGAAAACTTTTTTCATGAGGAGGCTGAATAGAGCATATTGACATACGACCAAGATTTATTTATTTTTTTATCTTAAAAGGGGTCATAGAATGATTCTATAGGGTATTTGGTGCTGGTCCTTAAGGTCTCTGAATAGGGTGTGTACCACTGGTTGGGCTGAAAATGGCATATTTGCTGTTCTATGAGCCCTAATGCAAGCCTGGTTAAAAGCCCTAGAATGAAACGACAGGGCTTCTTCCTTTATGGTATGCTCATGAATATTTAGCTGAGCTGTGCACTGATTGGTTGTTTTGCAACGAGTGAAGCTGCTGAGCAAAGACGCATCATAGCAACAAGCACTCGCTCACTGAAACATCAAATTGTTGAAATGGTAGGGGGACCAGACGTCCTCTTTTTCCTGGACATGTCCTACTTTTCACACCTAAAAAAATGTTCGGGGGAAATTCTACCAAAAGGAACATATCCCTGTCCCCCGGGGTTTCAGCACCAGCCCAGGAGCTGATGGCTTGGTTTGAATGCCCGGTCCAGTCAGAGGCCCAACATCTGAGAAACCGGCCACAATCAAACTTGCTTGCGAACCTTCCACCACAACTATCCGGCCCTCTTTATAAACGACAAATCAAATTTACTTTATTCACTCATGTAAAGTCGTGCACTACTCGGGAGAATTTGTGAGAAACGGTTGGAATGGCCGTTTCCCTACAACTTTGAAAACATTTACCTTCTTATTTGCACATATGCCTGAGGGATGGGTTGTGAAAACATGATAAGACTTATCAGCTCACTGAGGCAGGCAACACACTTGATGCGAACTAAAATATTCTGTTTTAGCTGAGTAGCTATTTTAAACTGGCTCAGAGCTGATCCGTTTCTCTTCCAGAGGAAAGGTAGTGACCACTGTAGCTACATGCTCATACAGGAGTGAATGCTGCAGGTCAATGACTAATCTGTTGGATTTCCATAGACAGAAAACCTTCAAACCAATCTTTCTGAACTGAATAATTTCACTAAATCAAAATTTTAATGTACTTTATTATTTGAATAATTGTTGCTATGAAAATAAAGTGGGGAGTGGCGGTCCAATGTTGGGAGCCATAGACCTTTGATCCTCAGGTTCTGAGTTCAAGCCCCACTCCCACAGACCTTCACTCTGGGTCTCTGAGCAAGACTCTTAACACCAAACTGCTCCTTGGGTGCCACACAATGGTAGCCCACTGCTCCCCAAGGGGATGGATTGAATGCAAAGATATATTTCTCCAATGTGGGATCAATAAAGTTCAATTATTATTATTAAACTGAACCGATCATTGGGGCTCCTCTTCACAAAAGACATTTAATCCCAGCGCTGTGTATCCTGAGCCCATAACATAATCAATGACCCCTCACACCTCCCCCATGGACTGTTCTCCCTGCTGCCCTCTGGGAAGAGGCTTCACAGCACTCAATGCAGGACCAGCAGATTCTGCAACAGCATTTTCCCCACTGCCATCAGACTGCTGAACTGTTGAAAAACTGAGATTCTGCATCACACTGATAACATCATACTTGCATTCAGATGTTTTCTACTGCATTTTGCACCATATCTATTTATTTATCTTTGCACTGCTCTGAACCTTCCACATCAATGCCTTTTTGCACCATGTCTTCTCCCACACTGTTTATATTTGATCACTGTTGCACTTTATGAATGGAAATGTTCTTTTTTACTGCCAAGCTGTTTCTCATTCACTGTCGGAAAGCTGTAGAAATGAAACTTCAATACAGTTTGTCTAAGTCTATATTGTTTAATGTGTTGCCAGATAAGAACAATGAACAGACTATTATGTGTGACGTTATTATATTTATTCGAGTTATGTCCCTTTCCATGTGGACGATGTCGATAAAGCCTTCATTACATTGGTGTAGATTCCCTAGCTCCAATGCAAACTGGGAATTTGTGAAAGGCTAAAGGTTGTGCAGCAACGTTAAAGACAGCATTTGCAAGTCTACTGTTGTTTGAAAATGAACCCGGGAAAACCACGCTCAGTTGATCCTGATTATATTCACTAACAAAGCCTTCTGTTTCACTGATGGGAAGTTTCAGTTTCAGTGGTTTTAAATGTCATTTAGTCAGCTAAAACAGATGCCGTACATCTCCCTAAGTTTTAGTCCACATGAATCCAGTTTATTTTTACATGTTCAACAAGCTGACAACGAAATTAAAGTAACATAAATGTTACAAATAACATATTTCGGCCGTATTTCAGTCATGCTAACTATGGAATACAGTTTAATTGTCCTAGCAGGAATATCCTAAAATGTATTAAACTGAATATTTTAACTAAAGACTAATTTTGAAGAGGTTAAAAATGCCCAAAGGTTGCAGTTGGGAGAAGCACACAAATTTCTGGAGCTTCTTCCAACAATTTAAAGCAAGGGTGAAATTACAAAAACTGATAATTTGTCCTGAATTAATAAAACCACAAAAACTGCTGAGGAAGTTGAAAGACCTGCACTGATAATCTTCCCTAGGTCAGTATCATTTCCTGTATTATCTTAAACAGGAAGTACAGCTGGAGGAGACCTTTTCTCCGAGAGACATCCAGATCTGCTTAGAACATCCCGAGACCTAAGAAAGATGGCGTATTAATTGGACAGAACTAAACCTCCACAACGCTTATTCCAAAATATTGGTTTGACATAATAATCAGGTGGAGCGTCAAAAAGATGACAACTGTCCACGGAAAATTTAGATTTCTCTTGTTTTATATATCGATTTATGCTATTTACTCACTGAAAAATGTTTTTCACACAATGCTGAAAAATGTTAAACTTGCAAGTCCACACAATGCTGAGTGAGGGGCGTTTGTAGACAAGACATACTTCTTCCCGTGACAAGCCCGATTCTTTCTCAAGTTTATTCATAACATGTTACTGTTTAACCAAAGTGTCTGTAACTTGTTTTGACTTTGACTACTTTCCATTATTGTCAGTAAAGGGAACGAATGCTGCCAGATCAGAACAGGGATGATTACCATGCATAAGAGCCGTATGATGAACTGTTCTCTCTTTGCAAAGATAAATAAAATTGCCGACTGAGTGAAATCCATCAATCTCCTTTTATTTAACTGGAGAGAAAAGTTTAATACTTTTTTCCCATGACAAAACACACCCAAAGTGAAACATGCTGTTGGAGGCCTCATGTTAAAGAGGTGCTTTGGAACAGGATTGAGAAATGGTGGAAATGGAAACAGAAAAAAAACCCAACAACCTTAGGTAAACTGTTGGTTCCCTACAGGCTACTAAAAATAGCAAAAGATTAAGCCAGATTCAAGAACTAAATTAAACAGGAAAATTTATGTTTTTATCTAAACTCTATTGTGGATGGTCGTATCTTAAAGTGTGCGTCTAGACTTCTAAGATCACCCATAAGTCTCTTCCAGTATCATAATCCAACAGCAGCCTTACCTGATTGGTTGATTTCTGCTGAGAAGACGTCCCTGGGATGTGGAGCGAGTGGCTCCTGGCTACAGGTGCCCCGGTTGAAGCTCTTCTTTGCTGTGAATGAACTGTCTGTGAATCATTCCCCTCCAGAGTGGGGCTCCCTTTGCCACCAACATTGCTCCCTTCTGTTTCTAGCACAGCATCCCAAGGATCCCCAGGAGAACCCCCCTGTTCGTTGTGTACTCCACTTCCTGCCGTCATGGTGGCTTCCTCATTCTCAGCTTTATGTTTTGTAAGTGGGTCCAGATCCAGCCACTCAAAGCGGCTGATGGGAGAAGATTCAGCAGCTGCTGTGGGCTGTGGCGGGGGGTTTGGTGCCAGAGAGGCTGTGCCCACTTGTGAAGAGTCTGCCTCAGTGCTGGAGGATCTACCGTTCTTCAAGTATTCTGAGGTGCTTAAAATCTTGTCAAACAGTTTAGCCATTTCAGGGTCCACGGTTGGTTTTGAGTAGACCATCGCTGGAGGAGCCTGGATAGGAGGTAAAGCCAAAAAGGATGGCTGCTGAGGTGGAAGAGTCATGAAGGACGTCATGGGTGGAGTGAAACCATTTTGAAATGTGCCTGGTTTGGGAAATGGAGCAGAAGGGAAGAGTGGGCTGGGTTGATGAGTTGGAGTGCTCAAGCTAGAATTAGATTGAGTGGGAAGAACTGTGGTCCACTGACTGCCCTGGAAAGGAGAGGAGCTGCAGGGGTTACCACCAGGGTAGGAGGCACTGAGGTTGAATCCCAGCAGAGCTGAGGGGCGGGACGCTTTGCTGTTAACGCCAAAGTTTTCATCGAGAAGAAGCTTTTCGAGCTCCTCATTGGTCAGTTTGTCCACGTCAATATCTTTAAACTTGCCCCCCTCTTCCTGCTTCTTGGTTTCTGGGAAGACAATGAGGTCCTTGTCAGTTGCACTTGCTGAAGGCAAAGTCTGAGCGGCATTGGCATTGCTGGACTTTGATGGTTTTGAGGCAGACAAGTGGGTTAAAAGTGAAGGCGTATGTTTTTTCTCTCGTTTCAATTTAGCCAATGCCTCTTCTTCCATGCGGAGGGCTTCCTCCTTACCCACAACCCCCTTTGGCTTTGGGACATCCATCTTGAACCCATTACCATTATGTGTCTGGGCCATTCTGTCAGGTGGAAGGAGCCATGAGTAGGACAGCCTTTAAGTCAGAGTGGCCCAAATGGTTACAGTGCAAAGACTTAAATCCCTAAGAAAAAAAGAAAAGAGAGAAAAAACACTTTAAAAAAAGGGTGAAACTTTTTCAAAAAAAACAAAAAGAATGTAATAAAGCATCAAATAACCAGCCATACCAAATTACTGCCACAAAACAAACCAGTCTGAGTTTTTTGGTTGATTTCCAATCATCAGATTTGGAAAGATAAAATGTACTGATTTCACTGATTTTTAAATAAAATCTAAGAAAAGAAATCCTGCCTTCCTGCCATTAACAGGACAAAGAAGGGGTGATATCACACTCTGTGTAGGAGGTCATAAGGTATAAAGCAACGTTTTACTATAACTATAAAGTAGAGTTATGGATTAGTAAAGAGGTTGATTATTTAGAATCAGTCCATCATCTCATATTAGCATGGCTAGAATGAGTAAGAAAGACCCTCCTTTTGTCACTACTAGGGCTGGGTATTTTTGCCAAAGTCCTAAATCGATTTGATTTTGATTAATACGGTTCTAAATCAATTAATTTGGATTCAATCTGTTTTTACAATAATGAAAGTGGTTCAACTGTGTTTCAAAATACTCGTGTATTTTTTTTTTCCTGTCATATTAAATACAAAATGCAAACTTGTAAATCAGACAGTTTAAACTTGAGATGTGAACAAAACTGTCTCAAAGGGACTTGTCTGTGAAAAGTAAAAAAGCGAAGCCTCACTCGAGCAGAGAGACGTGACACAACAGGGACACAGCAGGCATGCATGAGCTGCATTATCTTCACTGCACAAACCATATGTGCATCGTTGTCTATAACAACTACTGCTGGTCAGCCTCCATTTGTTAATGTATTTAGACAACCTATTGGCTATATCTGGCTTGAAGTCATCTTGAGAGCATCTTTCCGGCTCATTTGAATGTGAACGTCACGCACTTCACTATAAAATTAAACAATCTCATTCCCTAGACATCGATTTTGCAGAAATGTAAAGGAATCGATCCAAAATCAATTAAATAAATTTTTTTTCCCCAGCCGTATTCCCTACAGTATCCAGATTAGAGCAGGGAATATTAGCCCGAAACCGACGGGACCCGAGAGGTCCTGCCGGGTTCGGGCTGTACTTTTTATTATTTCATTCGGGCCGGGCCGGGCTCGGGCTTTAAACCGTTATATGTGCGGCAAATAAATGATCCTGTGATAACGTTCGATCTATACGCGATGAATGCAAAATGGATGTTACAGAAGTGAAACGGAGATTAGCCCTTAATGCGCACAATTGAAAAATGTCGGGCTGCAAACGGGTCGGGCTCTACGAAGCTGTCAATCATAACGGGCCGGGCCGGGCCGGGCACGGGCCTGGTTCTTTCGGACTCGGGTCGGTTTCGGGCTGACTTTCAAGGCCCGTTTCATGCTCTAATCCAGATCCTCTATTAACACCGAGATTCACCCCGAGGCCAGAAACCTTTCCATTTTAAGCATGTTCCAGTTCAAGCAAAGGTTAAAGGTGCAAAAAGACAAAACAAAGCAGCTTTTCTGTAATGCATTTAGCCTTCCTATTATCTACTGATAGCCGTAGCCTCTTTCACTCACTAGGAGTCTAAAATGGACTGTTGAAAGTAGTGTTGTAGGAAAATCAAGATTTTTACATGTACCTTCAGTAACGGCAGTGTTTCCCAACTAGGGGTACGCGTACCCCTAGTAGTCTGCCAGCGCATTCCAAGGGGTACATGAAAATATTTTATTTCTTTGGTAGTAAAATAAAATAGTCCTGGGTTCAATTGAAAAATTAAACAAGCTTTTATCAACCAAAATGTAAATTTTGTTCTTTTTTTTAGTTCACCTTCAGCTTTGACACACATCAAAACCAAGCAGAGTAACAGACTGGATGTACAAAGCAGCCTGGGATCAGCTGTTTCTCAAACTGAACTATCAGAGCTCATCAAAACAGTTTAGGTGTTTTGATGAAAACAAAGTAAAACTAATGAAGTCAGTCAGACTATATTTTTTGGTCTGTATTTTGTTCCCAATTCATCAAGTTCAAATGTGATTGTAAGGTAGTTACTCAGATGAGCTCCAGTTTTATAAATATAGGTTTATATAATGATGTTATTTTCTATTTATTTTGATTCCTCACTGACTTCCAGGCAACATACTTATGATGTTTTTTTTTTTATTTAAGACGGAAAGAATAAAATGATAATTAAAAGCTCAAATTAAAGAACTAAGTAATATAGTCTTTATTTTATTATCAGTTATTGTACATTCCACTTTAGGACAATCATCAATACTTTTGAGTGAGAGGGGTATTCATTATAAGAAAAATCATGATCAAAGGGGTACACAAGTCAAAAAAAGGTTGGGCAGCACTGAGCTACGGGACTAATATTTAAAAGAAATAAGCCCAGTTCTGCCAATTGAAACGAGCGCAATTACACAACTATTATGTGATGTAAATAATAACAAAAGTCATAAAGCTGTATCAACACTGTATAAAGGATTAATAGTTAATAGGAAAACCTCAACACTATATATTAGGGCATAAGTGACGTCATGTGGTATACTATCTGTAAATTGCCGGTTACCACTACTAGTTCTAGGAATTGGGAAATTTACTGTTGGAAAACAGTAGCCAGGTTTTTTATTACTCCATGGATAAAAAAGGCAATGTCATCCTTAAACCAACCCTGCTGGAAAATGTGTGGAGAACAGAATGTGGGTCACGCACATATCTTCTGGCAGTGTCTGCAATTTGTCCCAATTTTTTGACCAAAGAAATTGATAAGATACTAGGGTACAGCATCCCAAGAACAATACTGAAATTACTTTAGTTATGTGAAGGAAGCAGAGGATCAGAAGAAGGATCTTTACTTATTCAAAATTCCGTTGGCAGCAGCACAAAAGGCCATCACACGTTAATGGTCCAAACAAGAACCCCCAACAGTCAAAAACTGGTTGGACATCGTAGAAGAAAATCACAGCATGGAAAGACTCACTTTTATAAAAAGGTTGCAAAAAGCTAAATATAAAGAAAAAATGGACAATGTATATTAATGATCCCTGACCACATATTATCTATAAATTGTTCTGTTTTATATTATTTGTTCCTTTTAAAAATAATAAAATGCAAGAAAAAAGTAAATAGTGTCTTATAAAATAGTTCTTCATAATTCTGGTCATCTTCTTGCCTCATAAAAAAAGAGAAAAACTTACTAAACCTGAAAATAACTGAGTCTCATTCCCTCAACACCCATATTTTCAGAATTTTGTTGGTAGTAGCTGGCTTCTTATCTATTCAACAATTATATTAAGACAGACAGAGTTTCTAAAATCACCCAATGTTTGTCAGCAAGTTCTGTTGACCAGTCTCCTTTATTAGAACACTTATGTGTTTCGATCAACACATGTTTTTTACACCTTTGCACCTGCTAAAATTGGGGGAGTTAAAGTCAACCCACCAATGTCACACCTGGATGACTTTTCTCAGCATGGTGAAACAAGTATGCTGCAGTGGTACGACTGAAAGTTTACTTTACTGCTCCAGAGGGTGCGCACTGACAAGACCCACCTAATTCTGAGGAAATTCAGAGGAAAATATTGTTCGATAAAAAAAAAGAAAATCATGTCTAAGATCGCATACCAACAACTTGTATTTACAGCACCTTAACCAATTTTAAGGAAATCCACTACAGACATTTTACATTTTTGCTCAAATTGCTTCAAGTTAAAACCATGTCCCTTTTATTCTGAAAACACGATGCATACCCTGAAAGCAAAGGGGGTATAATGGGTTTCTAATTCAACCCACTAAGCTACATCAAGGCTTATAAATCATGAATGTTCTGTTGCTCCTATTGACAAGCTGTTTTGTCATATAAGATGCTCGGTCAGCTTGATATTAAAGGAAAAGTCCGGTCATATTCAGAATTCAAACTTCTGAAAGTACTTTAAATATGAAATTATGGGCGTGCAGTTGGCGCAGTGGTTAGTGCGCACGACCCATGTATGGGGGCCTTAGTCCTCGACGTGGCCGACCTGGGTTAGAATCCGGCCTATGGTCCTTTGCTGCATGTCTCTCCTCCTCTCTCAAACCCCTTTTCCTGTCAGCCTACTGTTGAATAAAGGAGCCACTAGTGCTGCAAAAACTCAAAAAAATATATATTTTATATATATTAAATTATTACATACTGTACAAAAAATAAGTGTTTTTAATTAAGAGTAATTTCATTAACAAAGAACTCCACTGCCACCTACCGGTTTGTGATGTCATGGTGCGGTATCAGCTGTTGATCAAGTCCTAATGCTGTATCTGGTGTTTGTCACAACATGCTATTATCTAAGTCATCTTGATTACATTCTTCTTTGAAATCTTTGCTGCATATGACGTGCTTTTCTCTGGCGAGATGTTCGATTACAAATCCTCCCTCTACCAAGTTGGCAATCCAACGATGAACCCCAGTGGATCATGAACCAGAGAGGTGAAATAACTATTTTTTTTTTTCACTTTTACCCGATGTATTACTTCATCCAACTGCCATGCACTTGGGCATTGTCAGTTTAACTATGGCTCTCAAGAATTTCAATGGTAAAGACCTCTGGAAATCTAAAATGTTGTTGATTGCAGATGTGTCTAGTAGTTCTTATTGATTTTGCTTGTAAAGCGGGGAGAATGGCGCTAGGCTTACCGCACCGTCACTGCCGGAAGATGTCAGGAGTGAGGTGTTACTATATTTGGGCAAAAATGGCCACTCCAAGACTCTGTGATTGCAACGAAAATTATAGTTTTTATTTACTCATTAATGCTAAATTCATTAAATCACCACAAACGTATACGTTTTAGGTATAAATAATGATCCATTGATTATTGCTTGCTGACCGGACTCCTTTAAAACCTGGAGCATCGTTTGGGTCTGATTCTTTGTTTTAATAGCCATTACATCCAGACAGAACAGTACATCAC